TGTAAAATGTGTATGTATATAAATATAAATATACATGCAATTTTTTATATATATTATTTATATATTATATATGCGCGGTACTCATTGGAAAGCGCTGAATATCAGTGATAGAGCTAACATATTTAGTTGATTGATGAGAGTCAGTGACCCTGCGTTTCACGCTATTTGCGATCGTCAGAGTTTGTCTGACGATCGCAAATAGCGTGAAACCCAGGGTCACAAACTCACATCAATCCAACTATATATATATATATATATATATATATATATATATATATATATATATAGCAAGTCAGAAGAAAAGGAAAACACTGAATTCTAAACTGTGGAAATCCAATGGGAAACCATTCCACTATCTTCTCAAGAAGTCATGACAGTTCATAGATAATAAAGAAAAAGAAATTCCAAATTCTGGAGAAGGCAATGGCGAAACAGTTGACTCTATTTCTCCAAAATGCATGGTAACTCTCACTTGATAAAATAAAAGAAAACTGTCGGGTGTCCCGATCGCCTACACATTAAAGTGATTTGTTATTTTAAAAATATCAACGTCTATTTTCGTATCACTTAGTATCGCCGAGGAACAGTGGTTAGCAAGCTCGCTTAGCAGACCATTACTACTGGAATAAGTCTGATCTCCCAGTGAGATAGATTCAATTCTAATATCAGTTTCGATCATCTCTAGGTGCCCCACCCTTGTAGCTTTGCAAGATAATCTTAAACCTAGTGCCCAGTAGTTTTTGGCAAAAGCTTTAATTCATATAAATCAATATGATCGGCATTAAGCAAACTGTGTATTTCATCATAAAAGAACGATTCCAATTATGATTTGAGGAATCTTGTAATCTTACATATTTAGAACCACTTCGAAGGCAACAAGTGTTTTATGGAACAAAAAATGACAATTTGAAGAAGAAAGAATAAATCAGCTCCAAACTCATATGATGCGCCGTATTTGCAACATGCGGTCGAGTGATATTACATTTTTCTACTCAGATAAAGAGCACTTCTGCTCCAGTGTGTCATTAAACTTGCCAATTGATCACTGTAGCATTGCATAGTAAGAGTTACTCCAAGGACTTCTACTCTGTGTCGTGTCCATTCAATACTTTTAGACTGAGTCATGTATAATTTCCGTTTTAGGGAATGTAATAACTAATGTATCCTTCGAACCGCTAATCTCTAAGTGTTAAGAATAAATTTGGAGTACACTAACATAACTTAGTCTTTGAATGGCAATGTCAACGAACACAGTAGATTAAAGAGAAAATATTGTGCTACACTATTATAATCCAAGGATGAATAACCAAGGAAAAACTTTTGGAATTCGGTTGGTCTGTTCTACTCTCACCTGACCTTGCATCATCCAATTCTTACCTTTCAGGATCGCTGGAAAACTTTTTGATGGGGAAAACTTTCTGTAATCAAAACCAGAATCAAGATTTCGTCGAAACCTCTTTTATACCAAAACCCGCGGAAAGATATCGAATAGCTTCCCGATAAGTGGTAACAAGTCAAATTATGGCGTATATCTTCCCTGTGCTGTGTCACTTCAGGACGTGGGCGATCGTGGTTCTCCGCAACTTCCTGTTTACTTGTAGCGCCTCTCTTGTGTTATCCATTTACTTGTTAAGGGATTTACTCGCCGTTTATCCTGTGGGTGTCGTTTTCCCGTGCCTTCTTTCCTCATTATATATTCAACAAATTTCAGCTGATTTTATGAATCATTGTTCTTTTTCCTTCCATTTTCCATAAAACTTACTCGTTGCTTACATGCTCCGTCCATGGTATTCCTAGTTTCCTTCTGTAGAACCATATCTCTGTTGTCTGAAGTCTTCTCTTCATATATGAGGACGGAAATTATTTACGACTCAACCTAACATTTATCCAACGTAATTTATTATTTATTGTCTGTATCCAATGCTGATCAGTCTTCTATGAAAGAGGAACATCGTATAAGTTAATCTGCTTCTGCGTAGATAAACATTAGGTTTAACATGCAAAAGACAGCTTGGAGACTTAAATCGATATTTATGTCACTTCAAAGTGATACTGATACGCAACCAACGCATTAAATATGTTCGTTAAATTCAAGCAAACCCACGCCCCGGGCTCCAGACCCCCACCCCGATTCCACTTGTATACTAAAGATTAGCGGATTGTTTTGTCCCAGAGCGGGTATCAAGTAGTAAGACTGATCTCCAACCGGTGAATACTGGTATTGAAAAACACTTTGTTTGCCTCCAGTGATCAATGTGAAAAAAATAAAATAAGAAAAAAAATGGGTATTAAGTTGGGAGATGTTAGCGTAGTACAATTGAGTAAATGACTGAGATAATACCTCATAAAAAAAAAACGGTTAGATGCTTCGCCGATGAACAGTGGTTAGCAAGCTCACTTAGTAGACTATTACTACTGGAATAAGTCTTATCCACACAAAATTGTGTGGCGTTGTGCTAAAATAAGTTAGAGATGACCTCCTAGTGAGATAGATACAATTCTAATATAAGTTTTGATCCTCACTAGGTGCCCCACCCTTGTAGCTTTGCACGATAATCTTAAACCTAGCGCCCAGCAGTTTTTGGTAAAAGTTTTAATTCATATAAATTAATATGATGGGCATTCAGCAAACTGTGTATGTTATCATAAAAGAACGATTCCAATTATGATTTGAGGAATCTTGTAATCTTACATATTTAGAACCACTTCGAAGGCAACAAGTGTTTTATGGAACAAAAAATGACAATTTGAAGAAGAAAGAATAAATCAGCTCCAAACTCATATGATGCGCCGTATTTGTAACATGCGGTCGAGTGATATTACATTTTTCTACTCAGATAAAGAGCACTTCTGCTCCAATGTGTCATTAAACTTGCCAATTGATCACTGTAGCATTGCATAGTAAGAGTTACTCCAAGTACTTCTTCTCTGTGCCGTGTCCAATCATGCCTCTCCACAACTTCCCATCTCTTGTAACCCTTAGCAATGTTTGTCTCTTTGTTAAGTCTCCCCTCACCTTGCGTTATGTCAGTGGGCCCCTGCAGCCCTCATATTTCTTTTACCTTCTGTGAGTGTTAAATTCTCCAAGCCTTCATTTCTCATTAAATGTCCAATGAATTTCAGCGGGATCTTAGTGTGTGTCTTTTCTGCCGTTTTCGTTAAGACTTTTTTCTTGCTTACATGCTCCGTCCATGTTATTCTCAGCATCCTTCTGTAGAACCACATTTTTGTTGCCTCTAGTTTTCTTTTCATTTGTGGGAAGATTGTCCAGCACTTACATCCATATAGAAGGATTGATATTAAACAGCAAGTAAGCACTCTTTTCCCTTGTTTCTAATGAAATTTTTCATTTTCTGAGTATTTTGCTTTGCTTTTGGAAGGCATCTTTCGCTATGTCAATGCGTGTTTGGTTTTCGTTATCGCATTTTCCATAAAGTCTAATACAGTGGAGCCTCGATTGTCAAACGACTCCCTTTTCGAACAAATCAGTTGTTGAACAAAATTTTTTACTAAAAATTGCCTTGTTTTTCGTACCATAACTCGGTTGCCGAACAAGCCAACAGCAACACCTGCGTAGCACATGATCACTGAATAACTGAGCGTATGGCGTGATTGGCACCAGTCTTGTCTCAACCCGCACTCAGAGTATATACGCTAAGAACCTCCACCTGATTTTGCCGGTATATCTTGTGTTGTACATTAATTCTTTATTTTTTAAAGTATTCCATGGGATCTAAGAAAGCCAGTGAAAGTAGAAAGGCGGAAATAAAAAAAAACAGTGAGAACAACAATAGAAGCAAAGAAATAGATTAAACAAAAACATGGGACTGGCGTTCATGTTTCAGATCTGGTTTTACAGTATAGCTTAACAAAGTCATCGATTTGTACGATCCTTAAGAAAAAGGAAACAATAAAAGAAGCTAAGGTTGTTAAAGGAGTGACTGTGATCATCAAGCAAAGATCTCAGATATTAGAAGAAGTGAAAAAGTTGCTACTGATTTGGATCAACGAAAAGTAGTTGGCCGGGGGCAGTATTTCGGAGACAATAATTTGTGAGAAAGCGAAACATTTGCATCAGGATTTGCTCAAGAAAACCCCAGGTAGAAGTTCTGAGAATGATGTGGTTAAGGTCACTTGAGGCTGGTTTGAAATGCTTAAGAAGCGAAGTGGCATACACACTGTGGTGCATCATGGAGAGGATACAAGTGCTAACAAAAAAAGATGCAGAAGAGTTTGTAAAAAAGTTTGGTGTGTTTGTGAATGCTGAGTGTTTTATCCCACAGCAAGTGTTTAATTGTGACGAAACTGGACTGCTTTTTGGAAGAAAATGCCTAAAAGAACATACATAACCAAGAAGGAAGACTTAGATGGACATTAGCCCATGAACGACAGGGTAACTCTTTTGCTTTGTGGCAATGCTAGCGTTGATTTTCAGGTGAAGCCAATGCTTGTGCATCATTCGCAGAAACACCTGTGTTTAAGAAAATCAACGTTATGAAAAGCAGGTTGCCCGTCATGTGGAGGGCTAACAGTAAAGCCTGGGTGACCAGAAAGCTTTCCTGGGATGGATCGTTCTTAGTGTGAGGGATTACCTTCATAAAAATAACTTGCCAGTGAAGTGCCTGCTGCTGTTGGACAATGCTCCTGCTCACCCACCAGACATGGCGGCTGAGTTACTGGAAGAGTTCGACTTCATCACCTTGAAGATTCTGCCTACTAATACGACTCCACTGATTCAGGCAATGAACAGGTGATTTGTAACTTTAAGATGTTATACACCAAAGCACTTTTTCAAAGGTGCTTTGAAGTTACTTCTGACACGGAGTTAATTCTCCAGGACTTTTGGAAGAGTCACTTCAATTATCCTGCATTGCTTAAATCTTATTGACGATGCCTGGCATCAACTGACTCGTAGGACCTTGAACTCACTATGGAAGAACGTCTGGCCGGACTATGTTGCAGAAGGAGATTTCAAGGGATTTGAAATTGTCAATGATATCATGTACCCGGGCAAAAGCATGGGTCTGGAAGTCATCAGTGATGACGTCGAAGAGCTGGTGGAGGAACACAGCACCGTGTTGTCTACTGGCGAACTCAAATTCTTACAGAAGAAGCAACAGAGGGAGATGCTTGAGGAGATATCTTCGGAGGAAGAGGATGGAAGGGCGAATGTACCTAGTCCTGAAAGGGAAGTGAAAATTTTGTTGAAATGTATCACCCTGATAAGGCAGTAGCAAGCCATGTCAGTAACCTTTTCAATGATAGTGCTATATATCACTTCCGTAACCTTGTGAAACAGAGGCAAAAGCAAGTTTCAACAGAAAGGTTTTTGGTGAAAAAGAGGTCTAGTGAGTTCCAGGCAAAATCTGCTAGTAAGAAACAGAAAATCCAGGAAATGGAGGACTCTCCTTTTCAAACAATAACATCCATTCACTCCTACCTCCTCCCCACCCCCAACTTCTGCCATCAAGTCTCCTCATCGCAGGTAAAGATGAATAAAATTTACCTTTCTTATTTATATGTAGTTTTATTCTTTATTTAGTCGTGTTTATCTTTTCTTAGATCTAATGATTTTCATTGGTTTTGTGTATGCACTTGTACACAAAATACGGTTGTAAAATTTGAATAAGCAACCATCCGGGGTCCAGGGACGGATTAATCCATTTTACATTGATTCTTATGGAAAAATTGTTTCAGTTTTCGAACTTTTCGGTTCACGAACGGCTTTCAGGGACGAATTAAATTCGAAAACCGAGGTTCCACTGTAATTAAATTTATTCGCACCAAACAGAACGTAGCTGAGGGAGAATAGGTGGATTCATGCCTTTGCCAGGGGTACTTGTGCATAAGTAAATATAACGAACCCGACTGGAATTGGAACTCGGCTCTCCGATTTCCAATTCCGTGTCGTTATACATTACACCACCCGCACATCCAAGTTTATCTTACAAAAAGACTTCTTAACAAACTAATCTTTTTGACCGAATTATTTATTTAACACATTCCAGCTGAAAAAAAATGTCCTTTTTCTTAGAATCAGAAAAACACTCATGGAACACATAAAGAGAGAATAGGGCATGAAGACTTTGAGAGTCAAAGGAAAAAGCAAAACGGACAGTGATGAAACTGCGAGTAATCTAACTTATGAACACGTGTAAAAGGATAGCAGAAGATGTAACAGGAGGGATACAAAGGAGCTAAGTATCGTTTAGAATTATGACGGATAGGAACTTGTGGAGAGCCATGATCGCCCACATTCTGATGAAACAAGGCACATGAAAGAAAATGCGAAATAAGGGTTCCTGCGTTCTTTGTTGCACGTATCAGCACGTATGCCTGTTCTTAATGGGGAGGGGGAGCTGACTTTGCTCGGGATGGAACCCTTAGTCTGTCATTTTGATATCACTTCTACAAAACAATTGTTTCATTAATATTTACTAAATTTAGCTTTAAGAAACAGGAAAATTCATTAGAAACTAATGAGTACTGAACTCATAGCTACAAAGGTCAGGAAGTAGTGGATATCCATGATCTCCCAGGTCCTGAAGGGACACGTCACATAGATGATAAAGATACAAAATCAAAAATATGAAATAACCAGCGTATCCTGAACTCACTTCAGTTGATCTTTGAAACTAGCTTGTTAACCACTACTTGGTATTTTCTTATCGATGTCAATCTGTGGTTTGGTCTCGAATACTACTGTGTAATGCACGCGATACTTACCTACTTATCTTATAACCGCTTGCCAGCCTAAGCTAGGCTTTAAAATACCTAAACATTTCCAACGAGTCGTTACCTCGAACATTATTTCTCTTATCAACCCCTGAACAATCATCAGAGCTGTTTCGACTTGAAGGCCCACTGTAAATCAGTGTACTTGCTCATCTTCAGCATTGTCGATGGTTTCCAAACCTATCGATATGCTCAGGCCTATTTGTGCCTCACTTGGGGCACATACGGTTTTCGATTCAAAGATTTCCTTCACCTTTACTGGTTGCCAATCACGGCTAGAGAGTCCAGTCTGTCCCATTATTTAACTCAGAGCTGAGAGGAAAAGGTAGGTTCATACCTTTCCCAAGGATATTTGTGCGAAAGGAAATATAACGATCTCGACTGGAATTCGAACTCGTCTCGCCGATTTCTCGTTCGGTGCCTTCAAACATCACACCACCTGCACATCCACAACATCTGAAATAGCACAAAAAAATAAAAATAAATAAAAATAAAGTTAGGAGAAATAAAATTGCTTGAAATAGACGAACAGAAAAAAAAAATATTTGTTCTTTATTTCCTTGTGTTGAAAACGTTAATATGAGCATATAATAGGTGTGTTCATAAACAATCGTAGTTGGACATTTTCATATGGCCGGACGGAACGAAATGTGCTTGATGAAGAGAAACGAACCGTACATTAAGTACACAGTTGAGTTTAGCTGTGCTAATCAGTTGAAACTTCTAGTCAACAACAAATATCCGCCATTAATATCAGCAATGGATATTTGCCAAGGGAGAGAATTCATTTCTGAACGGATAAAAGTCTTTGTTTTTGACGGAATATGGGACTTGATTCTTAAATTTGGATGGAATGATAAACTTTTAGGTTTTACAACGGGAGAAAAAGTTACATAAAAATTGCATATTTTGAGTAAATTTTACACAAAAGAAACTTATTTTTATTTATTTTTACAGAGTATGGTCATTTTAAATTCATAAAAAAATCACGTTCTCTATTCAACCAAGCAAATAAACTTTCTGTAAGAAGAATATTTACCATTAAACGGAGATTTATTCAGATATATGTTCTCGATTTCTTTAATAAAAACTTTTTTTTAACTTTTCTAATCTCTAACCTCCCTTAGGTGTCTGCCATATTCGTTAACCTGGTAATTTCGAAAACGAAGTCTTTATTGAAACAACAGCAGAAATAAAATGAAAAAAATGAAGAATGTTATTCCTAAAATACGACAAACATTTGCAGAATGATGGCATGAAGAAGAACCGAAATGTTGCAACTATTAGCATCAGGAAATAAAAGCCAGTGTCCGTTGTTTGTAATGTACAAAACACGTCATGGTGTGTTAAATAGCAGTTGACAAACAGGATTGCTGTTCGCAAGATTTAATAAATGATATGTATCAACAACGTAATTGTGAAATATAAGACATTGCCACATTAGGGGTTTATTTGACCCCTTAACAGAGCATGAGACTGGTGGGAAATTTACTAAACTTTGTCACAAGCAGAAGGGTTTTGTTGAAAGTTTACCTTCATTTTTCCGGGACTTAATGAGCGATACGGAACCTATGCCACATAGAAACTACGAAGACAACATTAAATAGTGCAATTCAGCTTTTTCCTTAGTATCTTTTGGTGCATAGATTGATTACTTACAACTGCAAGTGGTCCTTGTTGTTGCAGACTGCACGATTCTACATGTCATTAAATCATTAAAACATAACTATCTGTCGGGCAACTCTCAAGTGTATAAAAAGCATGTCAAATAATGTTAAACTCATAAATTTCTGAAATACAATGAACTTAACCAATTCCGAAGAAATCAGTTTTAATAAATTACTAAATTGATTTTTGCGTAGAAATCTCCGTGCATTTACTGGACAAATATTATAATTTATAGCTTTCCAAACTATTCAAACATTTCAGCTTATCTCAGTACGTGATCGAATATGATAAATAAAGTGAGAAGATTATATTGCTATAAGTTTTTTTTTTTAATATTAATTACAAGGTCCAAGAGTCACTGAAGATTAATGTGTGGTGTTGTATGAGCGTAAGAAAAAGACAAGACGAATTTAGTGATTGGGAAAAAGTTCCGGTGTTTGTTCCACAAAGCAGCATTTCTTGGAAAGAAGCTTTTTGAGTGCGATTTACTTCTTACTACTGCAGTGGGAAGGGCATGGGGGATGATTCAAACTTGTGTACGTGGCATGGAAGGTCATACTTGCAAGACATTTGCGACGTTTTGTCTGTGGGCATGAGGTTGTAGGATCTATCTATCTATCTATCTATCTATCTATCTATCTATTGTGGTGTCCTCCCTCTAAAGAGTCTATGTCGGTCTCTTCTGCCTACTATAAGATTAGTAGGAGAGAAGTCCTCGGGGGAACAGTCGAATAGATTGAACGCTGAGTCAACCGACACACACTCAGTAGTCGTGTAATACTCTTCTGTTGTACTTACTGTTTAATATATGATATATCTGTAACACTAATTTTATTATTTCTTAACCATTTACTTGGTCACAACACTATCTATCTATCTATCTATCTATCTATCTATCTATCTATCTATCTATCTATCTATCTAATTCTGTTATCTATCTATCTATCTATCTATCTATCTATCTATCTATCTATCTATCTAATTTTGTTATCTATCTATCTATCTATCTATCTATCTATCTATCTATCTATCTATCTATCTAATTTTCTTCAATATCTATCTATCTATCTATCTATCTATCTATCTATCTATCTATCTTCTTGGCCGATGTCCTATTGTCACAATGTAGGATACTTAATAATTAAAATGATAAGACATAAACAAAAAGAAAAAAAAACTAAATGTAATTAGCCAAATTATATACTCAGACACATATAAAAAAATGAAATTTAAAAGTTTAAAATTTCTGTGTTTCAACATTTTCAGCGTTTCCTATTTATACATGATTATAGCCAACTACTTGAGCGCTTCGACATTGTGCAATGGTTTGCAAGCTTGGCTTGCTATATCAATTACAACTGAATATTGATTTCGATCGTCAATGAGTTTTGTGCAACAGCTCGGCTACGCTTTGTCAGATTACATCGCGTCACACAAATTTTTTTTTACCCCGCATTGTAGTTTATTATTTTAAAATTGTTCTGATATATAAAAATATGTCTATATTTCTGAGGTATGAGGTATTATGATTACTTACATTATCCTCATCGTCATTGCCATATTCACAACGCTTCGGCCGTTGTACGCTCCGGCCTTCTTCAGGTGATTAGACTTTCGATTGAACCCTTTATTTCGTCCAACGTGGGGGTAGATTTTTCTAGTTCCACGTGCCATGCCTCTTCAAGGTGACTCAGTTATTTCCCTTTAACTCAACTCTTCAAGTTTGGTTTACCACTGCTGTGGCCTGGTATTGAACTCACAACTCTTTGGGTCTAGTCACTGGATCTAAACAACGTCTTTTTCCACTGGACCCTGGAGAACATCTGTGTATGAATTTTTTTATTTATTTATAAACCTAATGTCTCAGCAACCATTTTACCAGTGTTCATATTGCAATTTTTCTGTTATTATTATTGCATTTTTAGCAGAGCTTATATTGCAATTTTTGTTGTTATTGCTTCTCTCTTATTACTGGTTCTCGTATTGGTGACATCAGAGATCAAATTTGATTTTGTCCGCAATACCTTTCTGAGGTCAAGAAGCTTTTATACTCAGCTGCAAAATCAATAAATCGGTCTATTTTGATAGTTGCTTCGTTTAGTTACTAAAGACACGCTGTTCTCGTTGAAGAACTCTATTGACCTCGAGATCAACTAAACGTACCACATGTCGCAATTAGACGTTTCTGAGTCTTCACAACAAAACTTTGTTCACTGGCTTAGAGAGCGATAATGACACAGAAAGACAAACAACTGTTTCAAATGTTATATATATATATATATATATATATATATATATATATATATATATGTATGCAAGTGTGCATCTATATATGTGTGTACTTATTGCTATTAAATATAAGTAGGTGAATGCACGGTGGAGTAATGCATAGCGGCATGGATTGAGAAATCGGAGAGCCGAGTTGGAAATCCAGTCGAATCCATTACATTCACTTACGTGCAAATGCCCTTAGGAAAGATATGAATACTCTTCTTCTCCACACTAGCTATATAACAGGACAGACCGAGTTCTATAGCCTTGGACGGCAACTGGTCTACCGCAGAAAGAAATGGCAACCTAAGGCTTATCTGCCTAATCAGTCATGTATCGAAAGATACATGATCGCCTAAGTGTGTATCACGCATATCACATAACTGACTGACTTATATGGAATCCACACACCAAAGAGACTAACATAAAGAAACTGCTCTACTTGATTGTGGAGCATCGTTCAGCTTAAGATCTCTTGCAAAATCATTACAAATCGCTTTTAGTACATTACATCAGTTACAGTACCTTCTCCAATTACTGTGACTAGTATTTTACATTTTAAGTAACGAATCACACAGAATTATATGAGTCAGTAGTTAATTCGCTCAACTGATAGCTGCTCGGATTGAGGAATCAGAGAGCCGAGTTCGAATTCCAGTCGAATCAGTTACATTCACTTACGTGTTAATACCATTGGGAATGGTATGAATACTTTTTTCTCTCCCTCCCAGCTACGGGAAAAACCCAGGACAGACCGGGTTCTATAGCCTTGGATGGAAACTGGTCTAACATAGAAAGAAATGGCAACCTACTGCTGGAAAAGAATCTGCCTTGTTAGTCATGTATCGAAAGATACATGATCGCCTAAGCGTGTATCACGCATGGCACATAACTGAGGTGAATGAAGCAAATACAAAATTGATATGATTACATCGACATCATTTTTCTCTCTCTCTTTTTGAAAGGCACACCACAGCAGACACCCACAGATTAATAAATATTCGAACTTCATAGCACTTCTTGCTACATTACAAACAACGATAACATTTTTGACTCAACCGAAATATTTTATAGATTTTAGATAACAAACCGGATGAAGAGTTTTAAAGCTTTTATTCAAACAGCAAGTTCTGTGTACTTTTTCTATAGCAACGAAAGCACAACAGGTCCGCTCGTAAAAAATTGCGAAACTAGGGCTGTCATTTTCGTAGATTCAGTCATTTACGTGCCATGCATGATAAACGCTTAGGCGATCATGTATCTTTCGATACATGAGTGACGAGGCAGGATTTTCCCGCAGTAGGTTGCCATTTCTTTCTGTGGTAGACCAGTTCCCATTCAATGCTATAGAACCCGGTCTGTCCTGATATTTTCCCATAGCTCTAAGAAGAGGATTCATACCTTTCTCAAAGGTATTAGCACGTAAGTGAATGTAATGGTTTCGACTGAAATTCGAACTCGGCTCGCCTAATAACTTAATCCAAGCCGCTATCCATTACTCCACCGTGCCCCCACCGTAGATTAACATTCACTAAACCTGCAGTGTCAAATCCTCCCTTTCCTGTACTCAGCTTCTTAGTACTTTTGCTTTTGGTTTTACTGCCATTATTTTTAAATATCCCACAATGCAATAGCCGTGATTTCGTTAAGAAAGGCAAAATACTGTATGTACTTGGGTTTAAATCTACCGTGGAAGACTCAGAAATTAGTGCACTTTCTATACATTTTCACCTTAATAAATTGCTCCCCTTTTAATTAGAACTGATTTCTTCAATTCGAGATTATGGTCAGAGTCATTATGATGAACTACTAATGCCCTGGGTTTTAAGGCAATGTAAAGGAACTTTTGCTTAGTATCAAAAAGTGATGGTTGAAATTTCTGTCACCCCTAAAGAGGAAAGAGGTTTAGGAGAATTTATTTCCGAGGTCGCCTGTCTTAATTTCAGCCAATCACGTGACTCATAACGCAAGGACATTTTCTAACAGCAAAACTTATAAATATTTTTCTTTCACTTTCAGCTATTCATGTACACAACATTATATATTCCCTATTCTTGAATTATGTGATGTTTTTTTTTTAATATAAAAATATATATGTAAAATTACTTTTCGTGTTGAATTTCATTTCTTTTGAAAATGTTGAATTGATTTTACTTTGAAAGTTTTCATATTAATCAACCGTAACAAGGAAAAATTCCTCACACTACAAGCTGGTGACCAACAGAAACCTCGTCATTTTCAATCCTGCAGTTTCTATTCGTTACAAACTTAGTGAATATAGGTTTGCGGTATAACTGTATATATTTGTTTGCTGATAACCTTTGTACAAAGTTGTGGCATCCTATCGAGGCCAGTATCGTTCTATTAAAGTTTAACAGATAAGACTACTTCATGCAATCAGATTTATCTTCGACTATTTAATTAGTAGTGATAGATTACCTTAGATATCGAGGCGTAAGGTAATGGTCAGCATGCTTGCGTTTCGACTGTGTAGAGAGTTCGATCCAATCTGGGTGGTAGAGATTTTCCAAGCGTAGCTTAGATGTGGCACAAGGCCGAAAGTATGTGGCATCCAGTGAGGATCGAACTCACTTTTCAGTAGTAACTGACATAGCAAGACAAGCTTGCTAACCATTACACCACGCCGAGGTGCCCATAGTGATTTTCTAAGCCCGGCTTAGATGTGGCACAAGGCCGAAAGTATGAGGCATCTAGTGAGAACCCAATCTGGGTGGTATATAGTCGTCACCTTGTAACAACACTGAACTTAGTAAATAATAACTCAGTCCACGAGTGACAATGGCAAATTAAGAAATTACCTTAGCATTATAAAACACACACACACACACACGAGGGACGATCCGAAAGTGATGCTTCTAGTTGAATACAACAGAAACTGCAACATATGCAAAGATCACAATAACACCGCATATAGGAGGGTAACAGTGAAGATGAACAAAAGCATATGTCACTTTCGGATATAGACCCCGCCTGCACGGCGATGCACTTCTGGCATCGGTCAACCTGCTTTTTCATCCCTTCTGAAAAGGTTATTTATAAAGCCAAGTCTTCACCGGTTGCTTGTTTGGGCACGCAACGCATACAAACCTGACGGTACACCATATTATTATCCACTATGGCTTGTACAGCTAATGCCCACGGTTGCTGTCACTTGTGCTAACATGATTCGTCGTTCCTCCCTGATCAAGGCATCCGTCTTCTGGACGTGTTCCTACGTACGCGATTTTGATGGGTGACTAGATCGGCTTTCGTCCGTTACACTTGTTCTACACACTCATATATTTGTCGTTGAACCATGATGCGTGTCCAAAAAGCACCAACATCCAGCGATAGATTTCCGCAGGTTTGATTCTCTTTGCGCACAGAAAGTACCCTCTGATGTGTTGTTACGCTGAGCTCATTGTTCCATACCTCTCGACTGAACTGCGCACGGCTAGTTACCACTCATCCCATGCGAACAGATGGTATTGTATGTCAGCAACTCTGTTAATTTTACCACGAATTTTCAAAACTGCCTATGCTTTCTGATTTAACTTCGAATATATGTTCAGGGAGCGATGGATAAATTGTTGTCTAAATTACGCAAAAATTGGAAATAACAGTGACATTTCATTTTAACAGATATATTTATTAAAATTAGACAAAAATATCTTGAAAAACTGAAGAGTAAATGTATTAAATCAAATTACCATTGTCTTCATCCACAGCCTCCAGACAAATTCTGAATCTCCCGCAACTCTTCTAGACAGTCTACTTGTTTAAGTTGGTGGATGCTGCTATAATCCTTGCCTTCAGTTCATCTTTGGTTCATCTTTGGTGTTACAA